ACTCAACAATAAGAAATAAAAGAACAATGTTAATGATGGGATACACTGACCTACTTTGTTTGTACAAAAAGTTATGAATAACAATATTGGAAGCATAGTCTCGCTGAATTTGATATAAAATTCCACTGTTTTGTAGTATGGCTTATACTCAACTTAGTAGCAATACAATAAATGTGAATATTGCATATTAATTACATATCATTATCTTCACGAGTCTATGGCATTGTAAGACACAAGTATCTATTCGGAATTTGAGAATCCAATCATGCCATCTCACGAAGTTCTAGTATAATAACGCTGTCGTTACTTTCGCTTTATCAATACGTTCTCGAGCTTGACGTCCCATGTAATGTTCATTTTACACGTGTGTTACATACCATTTCTGGCATAATTCTAAAGAGAGGAATATTTGATGTACTAATACGGTATCCGTATAAACCCCCCCCCCTTACGATCGCGAAAGATATGTAATATACTACACGCAATTCAAGTGTAACTCTATGACCGATATTCGCATTGAAAAGCTATTTTTTTTGGACATGAAACCAAGTTTAGTTTTACATCGAAATAAAAAATTACGTCATTTATTCAGAAAACGTCGAAAACTGAGTTTCAGATATTTAGTTTTGTACTTTGTTTCAAGGTAAATAATTTTATAAAGATTTTCAAAAGTGAAGATTTGTCTATACTGGCATAAAACTGTATAAAACAGATAATTATCCATAACATAACAAAAGACGTACTGATATAGGCACTGCACTTTGGTACTAGATTCGTGATCGAACGCGGTGATATGCCAACTCTCTGACCTACTTCTGGTCTCAAGAGAAACTACATGTTGACATTCGTTGTAAGAGAAAATCAGTTGACATGTAATAAACACGAGCCCCTCCTACAACGACTGTAATTGCCGGGGATTAAAAATCAACCTTTTCAACAAAACGAACATCGACTACTTTTAAAGTGGATGTGGGATTAATGTTCCATTGGACAGTCTTAATTCTGTTATTTAGCTATCTCAATCACACAAAAGACTAGCCACTTATTTGTCTGTCATTCTGTTCCCGACTCCCTTTCCCCCATACATAAATAACTTGAGTACATTATGTTGTTATAGAATGTCAGTAGGCAGTAATTTAGTGATTATTTTGCTCCATGTTGCGTACGTAGGAACGTAGTTTACAGACAAAGCGAATCTACCGATTGGCCATAGAAAGGTCACGCCAATTTCAATGCGAACAAACTTGCATGTTGGTAGTGATCGATTGGTGAGCAACCCTAGCATAGGCGGCAGTAGTGAGGAATTGGGTTCAGACAAATGTTTCCAGTCATCGCGCGCGTTGACGCTTTTTGGTCGAAATTCTAGGAAAAAGAAAAGAAAAAATCAATTGTCAGAAAAAATCTAAATAAAAGCATGAATTTATGGCAATATATGTGTTTAGATGTTTAAGAAAGTGATCTTAACTTTGAATATTTTAAGATATTTGCACAATTAGATGAAAATGTTACACATTTTACATATCTACTGGATAAAAATCAAAATCTTACTAATATCGTTATGTGGTATATCAAATGAGAGATACTTTACAATGAAATGACTTACTACTTGTGATGTAATTGAACCATTTATTCTTAGAATAACTGTGATTTGAGCAAAACTGACTTGCATCCACGCAAACAAGTTTAAGTTTAATATATATCAAATGAAAGGTTTATTAAACAATTGGAAAAAACTAATGTTTAAAGGGAAGTAGAGGAATGGTGATCTCAACATTAAATATGTTGAGATATTCTACTCTTAAATTGCAAATTATATTAAGCAATTAGAAATATTTATCGTTTCTAATAAATATAGAATTTTGATCATACATAATTGTGACAATTAAAATCAATATCAGGAGATACAGTATTACATCTGACACGGAAAACAGTATAATTTCCCCGTGGGTTAAACGCCACACGAACGCGTTCGAATATGTTCCAGAAATTTAAGTTTCAGTGAAACATTAGGGTGCATGACAGTCTCAACCTTCAAACTCCACGGGCTATCAAACATGGTAGAATTGATTGCCATAACAACCACAATAGTTTTTGAGAAGCATGCATAGAAAGTTATTTTTCTCAAAATGATCAAAAATTAATACAACTTAATATCAAATTTAATTCCAGTTCTGAGTACGCAAAAAATTACCTTTCATTTGATACATACAATGTGTTGTCTTAATTTATGATTTTTCCGGTATTAAATAAAAGTGTTTTGAGAAAAATATTATTTCTAATTAAATCATATTTAAAATATCATATGACCAATGTAAGATATGGCTGCAAAGCCGCATTGTACTTGCATATAAGTATTCATTTGATATATATCCTACGATGATTGGGGAAAATTTAGATTTTACACTATAGATACGCAAATTGCGTAATATTTTATATATCTTATTGTGCAAATTAGAACTATGCTACAATATTCGATGTTAGCATCATTTTTCTTGGCTATGGTCATCCGGACAATTACGCATATTAAAAGATGGAGGGAATGGTATATATTTCTGCCTAATTATGCAAATTATTAAGGAAATCTTCCAAAATATTCAACATTAACATTATTTTTTGTGTTCATCACAACTATAATTGACCAATCATTTATTTGTTGAGAGAACTATGAGGGTACAGCATGATATGTCTACGTTGACATTAAGGAAAGAGCAGAAAATTGGTTGTCATGGCAACTCCGCTAAGCTACAACATGCCCACCAAAGTCAAATCATACTCTAGATGTTCTCAGCTTTCAAAAAAGTTATCATAATGGTCTGGCTTATAACGTTATACCCTGTTTTTTTGTATTTAAGACACCTTTTTTTATTGAAGCCTACTTTCAAAGTTTACATAAGATATACAGATGCCTGGTAATTACTACTAATAACATGACATTACAGTGGTCTTTTTGAAGGGATCTACATAATACATTTTAAGAATTTACCCTACTTCTTGATGTGGGAGTTCAACTTATTTCTCCTGGAGGCAATGTTGCATTTTCTATCTCTTGGAAGTATTGAACATACCTTTTATAAGAAATAAAATTTAATTTTTGTTTTCTATACCGACACTGACATATATATTTCTTTGGAAATCTATGTAGATTAAATTTATTTACCCATAACATAAAGAATGATTCTCAAAAATCTCTCACATCCATGCATTCATAAAAAATGTGTAACAAGGTTTCAGTATGAGATGAACAAAAAGTACATTTGTCTGATTCAACTATAGGAGGTGACATCTTAGTACATGGAGTTTCATTTATATACAAAATATTGTGTGTTATTTTAAACTGAAATTCTCTTAATCGGGTATCTATAGTAACACGACGTTATACCCTGTTTGATATCGAGGATTAGTTGTGCCAGTGTCTGTATAATTTCATTTGTTATCCCTATAACAGAGCCACCATTGCTTTAAATCACGACGTATTTTGGATCGGCATAAAATCAGACGTTGTAGTAGAACTGGGTGCGACGACTGTTTCTTCAGCGATAGCTACTAATAAGGCAGCGACTCCGGTACGATCGACACCCTCTCTAGATGTCACCACGATAGCTGCAGGAGAACATACTCTGCAGCCCACAACTCAGATACCGTCAACCAATGCAACAACAACGGGTAATTATTCTATTATATTAAAAGTTTCAGCCAGGAAATAATACGTTTATTGGCGTTTTTTATGGGAAATATTTGATCTTATGAATACGCGATAGTTGTTGTTGCCCAAATCACTGCAGACACCGTATGTCAAATTGTAACTGTAATACGCCTTTCCATATGAGCTGCAATTCATTGGTATCAGAGTCAGCAAGTTCCCTCCTACATTTCCCAGCCAATCACGTTGAACCTAGTAGCGACATCACACTGCAGATAGCTCATTCAGCCAATAACGCCCGAACGATATTATTCTTGGCTAACAATGAAGTTAAAATATACGATCTCGTGTAAACCTGAATATAGTGACCGTTTGATATTTCCCATTGTTCTGATGAGCGTTTCATTTGGCATAAGTCATTGACATCTTAAGAATCGCCTCCGGCTTACCTGTACGCATCGATCGATAAATGTGCATATAGGTCTTCAATCTGTTCCTGGCTAGTGTCAGATTTACCCGAGCACAGATCCGTACTGTTAATGTACGAATAATGATCCAATCACCATCACAACTCATAAACAATGTGGCATGTAATAATCACGTGACATTTCTGTCGACAGTTTCTTGAGACAGGTGAAGGGTGGACAGGGGTGTCGAAAAACGGGGGTGTTCGTTTTCCTCATTTAAGAGTATAATCACGGCTCCTGATGTGCATTTCATTTTTTATTTCCGATGACTGATCACAGGGGTAGCTGATCCGTGTTCTATCCAGCCGTGCATGAATGGTGGCCAATGTACCGTGGAGGGCGGTACATTCCTGTGTGCTTGTGAATTGGGATTCAAAGGTGAAACATGCAACGAAAGTAAGTAATCATTTAACGACGACGACGACGACTATAGACAACAACAACAACGGCAACGGTCACGTGGCCATCATCACAGTAATGACATTGACGGAGAAGTCGACTGAACCGACAATCGACTGCGTGGCGACAGCAACAAAAACCATCATTTCTGGTGATTACTTAATGATGTTATCACGATGGGCTGATGTTAGGTCATAAGATCAAATATCGTTTATGTAAGAACTTGTAAAACACGTTTGCCACTGAGGGCGAGCTGCTGAAGGGAAACATCAATCTACTAATACCAGTAGCTTTCTTGGCCTTTTTGGTTGTCCGATTGTTGTTGTGTTTTGTTGTTTGTTTGTTTTCTTTTATCTTAACATGAATTTATGTATGTTTTCTTGCATTTGAAAATAGCGTTGTTGTACATTCAGCCCGGGGTTTCTACGCACAGATATAACAATCTTAAAATTATACTTTAATATGATATGAAATTCTACCATGCTTGTTGTCAATCATTACCATAGGAGTAACATGCGCAGACAATCCGTGTGACAATGGTGCTTCGTGCTTTTCATCATCCGACCTCGTCGTCACGTGTATTTGTCTACCTGGTTACTATGGCGATTTCTGCCAATTTTGTGAGTAAACTATAAATTATTTGAAGAGATTTTGATTTCACTGTTCACGTGTTATCAGACCACGCATGGTAATTTGACTTCTTCTACAATAACAATGTTCAACACTTTGTTTGTTTGCAGCTTCTGACCCATGTCGGGATCACCAATGCCAAAACGGTGCTGTATGCGAAGGCACCCCATCTGATGGATATACCTGTAGTTGCGCGGAGGGGTACATTGGAGAATTATGTGATGTGGGTAAGTAAAAATCGCGTAAAACTATTCAGAGGTTATTGAAAATATTGTCATAGCAATGACAATGATAATTGCAAATGGGGGCAGCATTTATTCGTACGTTTAACATCACAATTACACAATGTTAGCCAAGAATATATGAACTGAAAAGCGATAAAACTCATCATGTCGTGCTGCATGAATTCTAGTCCAATCACCTGTATTGGTGAGAAGAGTTTTTCATCTGATCGATGGACTAAAACGACCAATGAGCATTTCCGAGACGCTTATATTGTATGTTACATTTGCATAAATCTGAATGGTAATAAGATAGTAATGCCGTTGTAGCTAGCTACATACCGTGCTTAAAGGGGAGGGATCGTCACCTGCGCATGCGCTGGAATTGAGCCCCACGCGACAATAACAACGCACGCTAAAAACGTAAAGGCTCATGGATAGACGCTTGTTTGTAAACAACGACACGCTATGGACGTTTGCCGCGCCGCCTGCGCGGCTGACGACTCCCGCGCTTTAAACCACCGTTAAATACGGAACTATGTAAACTCAGTCATAATCTCGCGAGACTACAAGTCAACGCATGCTTAGTGACAGTATCCCCACAAACGATGAACTCCAACATGCTACGAGACCCTGAAAAGGGTAATTCAGAAAATGGCCGTACCGTACACGGTGGCGTGATTTACAAGGAACACGACCGGTAGTAAATCCGCGCAACGCAAACAAAAGCTACATTTTACCCTACAAAGCATTTCATGTCGACACTCGTAAAAAAGACATACTCTTAAACAGCACAAAAAACAAAAGTAATAAAAATACATGTTAAACACATTTGACGTATTACCCTCATTTAGAATAGCGTTATCTGACAATAAACGAAATCTTCTGACGAGTGGCAGGTACAATTTGACGCTCTAACTGGTGGTATATATGTTTAATTGGAGAATCTGTCATACCCAAAAACACACCAATCAAGTTAGGCCGGAAGACTATCAATCGCAAAGTTTTAAGCGCCACAGTAGCACTGCAGATTTGTTGTTGGTCAGCAATAATTTTACCTATAATAGTGCATTGCGGTTTTTCTTTTAAAAACAAAATGGCCGCAATAGGTAAGGAAAATGTCGAGGCAGTGATGAGGGGATTTGAGATTTGATATGAGCGAAATTGAAACAGAAATTTGACTTCAAGACGTCCGAACTAAATTCAGTTCTTGCCACTGTAAAAGTGTCTGTGGCCGACGAAAAGGGTGTGGGTTTCCGACAAACTTGGTCGCCAACATTATCAGAAACAATATTTGAGCTCCATCATTAGTGTTTAGATTCCTTTTTATGATTTGTTGTTTGCCAACTTAAAAATTATGCCAACTTAATAAAAATTGTGATAAAAAGAACTATTCCCTGATAAAAACGCATTTAATGCACCAAATGTTAATATTAATTAATATATATATAACAACATTACCAACGAACCGTGTCATCTGTTGAGTTTTAATAAGTGTTCATAACTTTGAATGTTATAATTTATTTTCATATGTGCATGTCTCTATATATATATGTACTTTATTACAGTTGATCAGTGTTTCCAACACGACTGTGAAAATGGTGCCACTTGTGTTGACACGGGAGTGGGCTATGAATGTAGATGCAGTGGTGGATTCATGGGACAATTGTGCGAGACGAGTGAGTTTTAAATTTTTCATTTATTTATTCAAAAATATTGGTTTGCAAGATAATTGAACTGTAATTTAAGTAATGTGATTATGAATAATTACTAAAATTCATTGTTACCATTTTACCATTTTCAGTTGATTACTGTTTTGAAAATGATTGCCAGCATGGTGCAACTTGTATGAATATTCGCGTGGACTATGTGTGCTCTTGCGCGGATGGGTATGTGGGAGGACTCTGTGAGAAGGGTAAGTCGGTTTGACTCTCAACATACCACTTAGTCTGCGAGAATAACTGTATTTTGAAACCATGACGCTGAACTGTCGCGTCGGACTCACAGTAATTACATTCCTTGCCACAGCAGCAGCTTATTTACGAGAATACGGGAATAGCTAGACTGGCAAAGTCGGGACTTCTTTTTTGCTAATTCTTCATTTAGTCCTTTTAGTGTAATCGCGAAAATTAACCTGACCGCTAAAGAAATCCCGACTGGCGGCATCTACGAGCATTTGACTGCTATTAATTATTCACGATGTCATTGATTATTCATGAGTGGGTGTGTGAAAGTAAACATGACATTCTAAAGATTGAAACGATTCGATAGCAGAGATTTATATTTTAACTGTCTAAGTGCAAAGACGATACTTTCATCCATGTTTACTGAAAACAAGTCGATTTAAAAGTCCAATGTGTAATCTTTCAAAATCGCTGGGACCTCAGAAGTGAAAAGTTGCGTACATTAACATAGATAAGATGTGACGTATACAGCTGCACTCTGATTCGTTGTCAATGCTAGTCAACAACTTTTTATTAGCATAATCACCGGAGTGATCATGATTCCGCTCCGGTTTTCATTCCAACGCAGGTGGTCGCCTGCAGATGCGTCCAGTCTGGATTTCTTTCGCAGTCACGCTAGTTTTCGCGATCACGTTAAAAAGGCTAAATTGACAATTATATTTTTTTTTTGTAAAACAAAAAAGAAGTCTCGACTTTTCCAGTCTAGGGAATAGCTTGCGATACGAATTCCCACCTCAAAAGAGTTACTAAAATATGGATCGTTGGTTCATCGTGTTGGTACGTCACGCTTTTGACGCATAATTAGTATGCAAAGAGCTGACTACGGTTATGAACAAAACATGTATATTGAATGAGTTGTTTAATCTTTTTTTGTCGGAAAAACTTCTTATCATGTGTATGATTTGCTTTCAGTTGATTACTGCTTAGATAGCCTGTGTCAGAATGGAGCTACCTGCGTAAACAACGATTCCGGTTACACGTGTGAGTGCGCGACAGGATTTACAGACCCCCTTTGTATGAAAGGTATATAGTCAGCTTTATAACCACAACGTGTACGCATGAATACATTCTAAGACTTGTGGACAGCGATTTAAAAAAAGACAGAGTAATATTAAACTGAACAGAAAACACGTTGTTTGATACGAATTTAATTTGTAATTGAACGTTTACGTTTACGCTTTGGAAAATCCAATGATCGGTCTTTTTTTGTCTTAAATACATTTTCAGAAATACTTGAAACGACAGCAGCTTCTGAGGTGAGTACAGCGTTACCTCCAGTCACAAGTGCAGTCATACCCGTCGTCAAAACAACCCCGGACAGACGGGGTGTCACAACACCGCTACCTGATGTCACAACGTTGTCTGACCACGGTGTCATCACTGCTGCAGCTAGAACCACGCCGATCGACACCACCACTGACGTTTTCAACGCACGGACAACTGTACCGGAGATTGTGACCACGGACGGAGCGCTCAAGACCACGCCATCTAGAGTTGAAACTACCGCGCGGTTCCTTTGTGAGTATCAGTTCGTAATATTTACAATACATAGATACATAAGTTAAAAAGATTACACAGAATGCTGAGTAACGACATTGCGATTTAAACATATCATTCAATTCATACAAAAGTGCGCCGAACGAGCCTATTTTCAGGCCCCTAACCTTTCTTTTAATTGCCATATTGCGCAATATGACGTCCCTTGCCCCAAAAATACAGAATATACAGCTTTGACTTTGACTCTTATAAAGTGATCCTCTTGGCTAAACAAAATGAACGTCAATTTATTTAAAGTGAAACTTGCTATAACTTCGACAGGTTTCGAATATTGTTTGGGAAGTAACGTGTCCTATAATGCTGCGCTTAAGGGATCCTTTTGAATACGATGTACAACTCTGAAAATACTTCCGTATATTTAGCATAGACAATTTATTTTCCTGCGCGAAATTGACACAACCGAATGTATTTTAATATAAAAAATGATTGCAGCAACGGTGATTCAAAAGTTAATAATTTAAATATGACAATTTCAAATTTAATTTCCTGTTATATTTAAGAAGCCTCGCACCGTGACCGCAGCCAGTGCGATTGTTCATTGCACAGGCACCGAAAATTGTGATTACTGTGACAGAAACGCGGTTATACGAACAAATGCTTCTGATTGCTTTCAAATCAGTGGTCACCGTTTCGCCTTTGTGTTAAGTTAAGATATTGGGTCATTGTGGGGGACGCTTATAAGACTCCTGCTACTTACTCTTATCATTGTCGACTTAGCCGTGAAAAGATTCACAATGGTGTTTTTTTTTTAAAAGAAAAAGTATCATTTGTCACGGGTTAATATGATGCAGATGTCACGGACTTCCATTTATGTAGTCAGTCCAAGAGTCGGTCGTATACTTCACTTCGTAGTTGCTTTGTCACGTTCTCTACTATTCCTTTGCTACGGATGGTTGAACGCACGATGGCTGCCACGATGGTGTGCACGCTGAGCTTGGTCTTCAGTGTATTGTATATATGATCACCGCTTTTTAGCTGAATATGGCGGTGATATGGGAGCCACCATGGAAGTGTGCGTTGTTGCAAGAACGACAATTAACTGGTAACCCTAAATTTTAACTGCCAACCATGAGATTCGTCTGGTTATTAAAACAGTCATATTTACTGTTCGTGCTCGTGGAATTTCCAAAATACTGGCCTAATTGTGTCTGTCACTAACACTTGAAACAGCGCTACTCCTAATGCAAAGATTGTTTTGAAATGGGACATTTTAATAAAAATGGTATGTGGGCAGCCTAGTAAAGTACATCGGTTTCTCAAACCTTGTATAATACATGACGAACCTTGCATGTGATCGTTTTTTTAATTATAACCACCACCACCACCACCACCAGTTAAACTTATGCAAAGTGTGCACGTGACATAACGGCAGGTGGTTATCAGAATTGACTCACGTCGACGCGAAATATTTATATGAAAAATTAAATACGTGTCCGGTACGTATACCGTTACGTCGACGGTCAGTAGTAAATAATGATTCGAGCAACAACACTATCAGTATTCAAGGTGTCCAGTCGAGTTGAGGTCGTCTAAAGATTGAAATTGAAATCGCTTCCACTTATCCATGTAATCAATCATCATGCCTGATACTAAACATATTCTACCTAAGCTGAACGGTACAGGGCCATG